CTTCCATTAGGCTTTTTAACAATCACTATTGGAGCTGCCCAATCAGAAAAGTTTACTGGTTCGATTATTCCACTTCTTTGCAGACGCTCTAATTCTTGTTCAACAATAGGTAGCGCTGCATAAGGTACCGGACGTTTTGGTCTGAAGACGGGGGTGACTCCCGGTTTAAGAATCAATAGTGCTTTAACCTTTTTGCATTCCCCCAACTCTTCCATAAACACTTGACTGTGTCTTTCCAATACAACACTCTTCAGATCCTTTTCCACCGGTTTACTGGTTCTCACTGCGCTGCATATGTGGTTAATGGAGTGATTTGCTAATTGAAGTGCTTCTATCAAGTCTAGACCTAGCAAATCTAGTCCTGGATTCTGTGTAAGATATAAAGTTGCATTCGTTTTCGCATTTCCTTTCGAGACTGTACAACAAACCTCTCCAACAATATTTAGTTTTCCTCCAGATGCGCTGTGAGCTAACTGGGTTGTTGGGAGCACCTGTGGTTTACCGATAAGATTCCAAGTTTTCCGACCAATAAGTGTGATGTCAGAAGCGGTGTCGAGTTGCAGGCGGGCACGCTTTTTATTTATATCCAAGTTAACATACTTTCTTTGGCGGCAAAATCGTGCTCGATTATGTGATACCAATATTTTGTTAGTTCGAGCACTAAATCTGTATTTCTTCGAGTAGGGTTTCAAAGAATGTCGTTTATGGGTTCTTTTTCTGCAGCAGTTTTCTTTATGTCCCTTGCGATGACACTTGCTACAACAATGTTCTTTATATGGGCAGAACCTTTTATAATGCCAACCACCGCAAGACCAACATGGAGATGAAGGCTGATTATCTGTGTGCGATACCTTTCTTGAGCGAGAATCGTTCTTTCCGCTTACAGCACGAACGTATGGCAACTGGCCATTATTTTCGACCATCGAAGTGTCATGCTTTAGGTTTACCAATCTCTGGCACTCTGCGGTTACTTCTTGTAGTGTCATATTCGGACATTGTTCAATTTTACTCAAAATTCTAGTTCTAATATCGGCATCTTCGGGAGATTGGAGGCTGCACACAAATACGAGACACTTAAACTGGTCTTCTGTCATTGCTGATAGTTTGAAGCGCTCACATTCACGGTTTACTAGACCCGCATGCTTCACCCAGTCATCATCACCTGCTTTTGTCATCTTGAGACATTGATAACGAATATTAAACAAGGATGACTGTTCAGCAAAGATTTGCGACAAAATTTCAATCGTTGCATCGAAAGAAAAATCTCTTGGATTCTTTGGAAGGATAAAGTTACTGTAACGTTCATGTTCAACAGTTCCAAGTTTTCGCAAGAGTATTCTGACCTTAGCGGCGTCATCAAGTTTTTTGAGGTCGACCTTGAACAAATCTTCATATTTCTTGAACCAAGTTTCAAAAGTAATGCCAGCTGAACCATCAAAATTAAATTCATGGATAGAATTAACAATCTGGTCAACATGAGATTTGAAGGGATCATCTGTAACTTCTTTTTGATCCAGGTTCATTTTCTGAGTTAGCATCTCTAGCATGCGCATCTGGAACTTTTCTTGACGTTCCAATAAGGCTTCAAATTGTTCCAAGGTAAATGACATATTGATACAATAACCCGTCGCCAGATGTTATATCTTGAAAAAGCTGATTTTCTTGATACAACCGCGTATAACTGAGCACTGGAACACCAAACCCTTCCAAGTCGCAATAAGAAGACAGAAGACTAACGAAAGGAATATTATTCCAAACAGTGTCAAACATAGTACAAAATTATCAGGTATTTATAGTTTTTAGTGGGAACGAAATCATCATTACAATCTTCCAATCCGCGTACAGAGGGTTATTAGCATTATCCAATGGGGAAGCTACACGTTGGAATTCTAGAACATTCTTCCGACAGGTGATTGGATGGAACGTCTTCGGCTCCTTATGAGCCTCTTACAGCTTCCTCGAGTTCACCGGTGGTCCGTCGTCACACCTCCCCCCTTTAAAGTCCGTTGTGTAAGTTTTTTTTCTTGGATCCACCTGAAGCTTGGGTGTCGCATTCCTCTTGCGCTCCATTACTCTCGAGGGTTGTACAGCTTTCTCTCTGCGTCGTTTGTCTTTTCGATATTTGCGCTCATGATGGTTCTTCGGGGATGAATCTACGAGCAATTGAAATGGAAGCCGGTTTTCTGTGACCACTGTACTATCATTTCTTTGCATTTGATTTATATGTCTTATGCATTTCCCGACATCTTTCCGGACTAGGTACAACACATTTCCGATTCGACGTTCTATGACACCTGGTTCCCACTTCTTATTACCTTGGTACGATCTGACAAGTACCTTCTCACCCACCTGGAAGCTACGATTGACCTTACGATTTTCATTCGTGGGTTTATTTGTCTTTCTGGGCGGCAACATACTGTTAAAAACTGTCCGGATTTTTCTTCCGAACATACACTCGGCCGGAGACTTTCCTTCTGGTACTGCCGGATTAGGGGTAACTCTGTAAGACATCAAGAACTTATTAATCACTTGTTCCGGGACACCCTCACCTCCCCCTTTGACCAGAGCTCTTTTAATTGTATCCACGAATCTTTCTGCCTGGCCATTCGACTGAGGATGGTATGGAGGAGATTGTAGATGCAATATGCCATTCTCGTTGCAGAAGCGTTTGAAGGCGGATGACATGAACTGAGTACCATTGTCGGTCACTAAGATCTCTGGAACCCCAAAACAGGCAAACAATCCTGACAATCTTCTTATGGTACTCTCTGAAGTCGTATTCGGCATGTCATAAACTTCCGGCCATTTTGTGAAAGCATCTACAACAACTAAGTAATTCCTGCCTTGTATCGGTCCGGCGAAATCAGCATGTATTCTTTGCCAAGGCCCGTCCGGTTTAGGCCATGGTTGTGGCTCAGCTCTCGTTGGGTTCTTTGCAGCCTCTTGACAAGACCAACAGCTGCGACATTTTTGCTCTATCTCATGGTCCATTGACGGCCAGTAAGCATAGCTACGAGCTAGTGACTTCATTTTACTTATCCCTGGATGCCCGCTGTGGAACTGTTTAATGGCTTGGTGTCGAAGATTTCTGGGGATAACGATACGATGGCCAAACATTATACATGAATCGACAACTGTTAATGACTCTCGTCGACGAAAGTATTGTAAGAGTTCTCCGTGTAATCTAGATGAAGGCCATTTATTGAGTATGCAATGGCGAACAATCTTTAATACATTATCCTTCTTGCTGGCCTCTTTAATGGCTTCAAATGTGACCGGGAGTCCGGAAACTGCGTCTGACAATATTTTGTGAACCTCGGCCTCGACATCTATAGCAGCTACAAGCACCTCTTCTTCTTGTTTTTCATGCAGACCAATCAATCTTGAGAGTGCATCTGCCTGTCCGAAATCCGTTGTTGGTTGATACTTTATCTTAAAATCATAACCCAGCAGTGTGGTAGCCCATCTCTGTAGCCGGT